ATGGCGTATTTTTGATATTCCGCCTTGTGATCCTTGACAATTCTTAATAATTGTACTTTCAGCATTGCTTCTTCAAAGTTGATATTTTTCGAGCGGAGCCAATTTTGAACATCAACTTTCCTTGAAGCCGTTGTTGGGACCTTCTCCATTCTTCGAGAATGATAAGGCGCATTATCCAACACAATTACTGCGTTTTCCTCTAAGTTCGGTAAAATTTTTGAAAACCACTGTTCAAACGATTCGCCATTCATTTCCTCGTGGTAATCTCCAGTTTTCTTAGACTCAAAGCACCACAGACCGTCAACAACAAATCCATCCTCACTGCCAATATGGCAGATAATGAGCCTTTTCCCTTTACCTGGAAATCGAAGTACTAACTGGTGTAGATTTATTTCAATAAGCGAACCTTTTTCAAATGTTTTCATCACATTCAGCGAAAAAACATTGAGACATGAGTATCAGATTGCTATAATTGGGATTATTTAGTCATATTGAAAGAAAGAATATTGAACGTCGTATGATTACTCAGCGCTTCACAATTTAATTTAAAGTTATAAACCTTTAAAAAATGAATGATCAGGAACCTGATTATATTAAAAAATTATTGAAATATCGAAAACACATAAAAACATGGCTCAAAAAAGTTCTAACAAATGAAAATGACAATAAAACATCCACGCATTTTATCGAAAGTTATAAAAGTTTTGTTACTTGTAATATGTTTTATCTGCCCCCTGGAATTAATGTTTAGAACCTTGTTCCCAAGGTTTGAAAAACATCCGATTGTTGTCTATTACTCGTATTCAATAATAATAATAATAATAATCCGGCTTTATTTATACAAAGTATAAAAAGGCGAAGTGTCGCTAAAAAGCGTTTTTCAACTTAACCCAACTTTACCTGCTGGATTTTTTAATCCGGTGGACAGTCCATCTAGAAAGGCCCTCCTGGATGAAGTTACAGAATCATCAACCCATACTTTACTTGTAGTGTGTCCTGCGTTTACCCACGTTTCATCAAGGTAATAAATCTTCCTGTTTTGATTTCTATATTTCCTAATTTTTGTTAAATAATCCCTCCTCCATAGCACAATTTCTTCTCTATCCAGTAGTAAACTATTACGACCCCGTTTTTTCCATTTGAAATTTAAATGCTTCAGTAACGCATGGAAAGTTGATCGTTTGAAATTTGGCAACGTTGTATCTCCATTTACCTCCTGCAGTACTTTATCTATAGTAGGTATTTCATTCCTAAAGAAGAATTCATGCACTTTCCTCCTAATCGCATGCTTATCAGCTTCATCCTATGATTTAACAATACTTTTGCGATGTTTACTGGTGGCTCAGAAAAGGTGTGATTTTTTTTGTATTGTCTTAACACATTAAACACTGATGCGCGACACACCCCAACTTTGTGAGAAACCTTCACAATAATTTCTTTGATGGTTGATGCCTCGTTCTCCTCGCGCTCGATCTTATATATATTCAAAATGACCTCTTTCATTTCTGCACTCATGTGTCTTTTTTTAGAGCGTTTCCTAGGTGGACTACAGGAGTTTACAACTTCATCGGCAGTATCTGTACTACTGGGCATTTTGCGCAAGCAGTTGATAACAATAGCAATCAATAACAAGGTATAACAATAACAACGACAAACTCAACAACTTAATAAGATAACAAACGAAAACGTCCAAAGAAATATCAAATTGCAATGATGCACACGACATACGTAACACGTCTGAACCTGAATGTGACTCTGCCTTGATACGACTGCTCTGCCGCTCGGCATAGGCATTTAATTGCGAATTGACCAATGAGGGCTCCTGTTTTACGTCGAGACGGCGGCGTTAGCGTGAAAATCACCCGACCCTTTTGTTTACATCCGGTCTATCTCTTATCTGAATATACTGTAGAAAAACTTAATGCCATTTATTTCGTAATTACCCAATTATATTGTTGATGTATTTTATGGCAACATTTTCCAAATTTTTGACATGCACATACCTCTGTACCGCCTTGGTTTCACTCAGCTATTATAAAGAACATTAAACTTAAAGCTAAATTTAGGGGAAAAAATCAACAGGTCTGCTTTTGTCGATGATCTACAAACGTTTGAGCCGCTTGATAAAAAACCAGATTGAATCAGCGTATGATCAATATATTGAAAATATCCAAAATTCTTTAACAATTAACCCTAATGCTTTTTGGTCATACGTTCACTCCAAAAACGATACATCACGAATCCCAGGGATAATGAAATTTCAAAATAATTCTATAGATCACGCATTCAGTGAGTTTTTCAGCAGCGTCTATGTCACTCACAAGCCCCATAATAATGCCGCATTAAATCATAGTAATTTATTTGTCCATTTTCATCCAATTGAGGAAAATGAAGTCAGGAAGGCCATTAAATCACTAAAGGATAAGATGACATCTGGTCTAGATGGCATCCCGTCCTTTATAGTCAAAGATTGCGTGGAAGTGTTTGTTGGTGTTCTAACGAGGATTTTTAATATTTGTCTTATAACAAGAAGATTTCCAGATATTTGGGAGATCGCTACGGTCTGTCCAGTGTTTAAGTGTGGGGATAAGTCAAATATCGAGAATTACAGGGCAATCTCTATATTATGCATGTTCTCGAAAGTCTTTGAAATAGTCTTGTACAGTCGCATTTACACACATTTACGTCAGCTGTCATTGCATCAACACGGATTTGTCGCTAATCGCTCAACAACCACAAATCTATTTATAATAACGTAGTACCTCTCGGAAGCCATTGATATTAATGAGCAAGTTGACGTTATTTATACCGGCTTTCGATAAAATTAACCTCAAAACCTTATTAAATAAGTTAGGCGCACTTGGTTTCACAGATGATGCTAGGGAGTTGATGAAATCTTACTTATCCGATCGTAGACAATTTGTTAGCTATAATGGCTTCCAATCTAAGACCTACTTGGCACCTTCTGGAGTTCCTCAGGGTTCCAACCTGGGACCATTACTGTTTTTGATATTTATTAATGACCTCTGTAACTCAGTTGAATGTGAACGCCTATGCTTTGCTGACGACCTAAAAATTTATTCGAAGATAAATACTCCTGATGATTGTATCAAGCTACAACACCAATTAAATTTTGTGCTGTCTTGGTGTGTAGAAAACAAGTTGGAGCTTAATGTGAGGAAGTGTAAAATAGTCAGCTATACCAGGAAAATTAATGTTTGCAAATATCCGTACTCTATTGATGGGTCTGTGCTAGAAAGATGCTCTGATGTACGTGATTTAGGTATAATCTATGATCAAAAGTTAACTTTCAGTCAGCATATAAATAAAAAAGCATCAGAAGCATTGGCGGCTTATGGTTTCATAGTAAGGAATTGCAGGAATTTTCATAACATAAAGTCTATTAAGCTATATATATTATGCTTATGTCAGATCCAAAGTCGAATATTGTAGTATTATTTGGAGCCCTTACTATGAATGCTATAGCACAGCTATTGAAAGAGTACAACGGAAGTTTAGGAAGTTTGTTCTGTTTAGGATTGATGCGACATATCCAGAGAGAGGTACAAGTAATGAGGAACTATGTAGTCGCTTAGACATGTTGACTTTGAAAAAACGTAGGTACTGTGCCTCAATAATATTTGGCTACAAAATGATCAACAATTTAATTGATTGCCCCTTGATCCTGGAACAGATCAAGTTTCGTACTCCAACGTTTGCATCTCGCAATCATGAAATATTCGGGCTTCCTAGAGCTAGGACAAACATTCTTCTCAAGTCACCGTTATATGTAATGTGCTCTAACTTAAACAGAATTGGATGTTACTGTGATATATTTACGACAAATGTTAATTACCTGCTAAGTGGTCTATATCGACCTCTAGGGGTCTATGACAACCTACAAGGGGTCTACGTCAGCGAAAAAAAATTTGGCGGTCCATGAAATGAATATGGCGGTCCACGATAGTGGATCTCAACACATACACTGATATTACCTATTTACTTACATCATACTATCTTATAATATCAAAACATATACATTATTTATAAAAGTACCTATGAAGTAAAAAATTTATTATATATGTTTATAAAATTGTGTAAGTTGTAGTATGTTGGTATTCGCTTTGTGGTCGCAATACATTTTGAACTTGTAAAAACCTGAGAGTCGCAGTCTCAGAGCTTCGCTACCTTGCACTGACTTGTTCAATTCGTCACTCTATAAATACGAATGTGGGACAAATACGTTTATTCGTTTCCTGAAAGTGCTAAGAAAATATTTTAAAAAATATAAACAGATAGTATATCACACAAATTATAGTGAGTCAGTGTTATTTTGTTTGAGAGTGCTGGAGAAAAGTAAGTACATTATTTTTTATTAAATTTTAGTTTTGTACTCGTAGTTAGCAAAGATAGATAAATTACGCCAATCATGACTTTAGTTATTAGTAGTTAAATATTCAATCATGCAAAATTACACGAGTACTCAATAGTTTCTTTTTGAAAGTTTTAGCAATCGGTAATATAATTACAGTGCAATCTCCGTAATTCTAACTAATTGTTCCAAGAAGATGTTCGAATTATGGAATGTTTTCGGAAAAATCAAAAAATATTTTTAATATACAGCTGCTGGATTTTCTGTCTTATTTAAATAATTTAATTTTGCCCACAGATGACTGATGCCATGTCCGAATCTAAAAAGAAATGTAGACAGTATAGTGTTGATTATTTGAAATTTGGCTGCATTCCATCATTGCCGGACAAACAATCGCCTATGTGCGTTTTATGCAACAAAGTTTTGGGCAATGACGCTATGAAACCATCTAAACTGCAAGATCATCTGAGAAGATGCCACCCTGATAAAACAGAGAAAGATTTGAAATACTTTCAAACACTCAAAGATAAATTTCACAAGAGACCTACACTGGACAGAATGTTCGCTTCGACTTCACAAAGAAATGATGATGGTTTGCGGGCGTCTTACAATATCTCGTTACTTATAGCAAAATCCGGAAAACCGCATACTATCGGAGAGAAGTTAATTTTGCCAGCCGTTGAAGAGGTTTTAAAAACTGTTTTACACAAACCTGCATCTGATATCATTAAAAGAATTCCCTTAAGCAACAATACTGTTGAAAGACGTATTGATGAAATGAGTTCTGATATTGAAAGCTTCTTATGTAATTATTTGCAAACGACCCATTTGTCTATACAACTGGACGAGTCAACTTTACCTAATAATGCAGCATTATTATTGGCATATGTTCGTTTTATTATGAGTCAAGAAATCTACGAAGAACTGCTCTTCGCAAGAACTTTGATAACCGACACTAAAGGTGAATCAATATTTCATGTTTTGAAGGATTCCTTCATTGAAAAAGCAATTCCTTTATCAAATATAATATCAGTAGCTACAGATGGAGCACCTGCCATGGTTGGACGTTATCGTGGGTTTATACGCTATTTAAAACAAAATGTGTCAGGGGTGTTAGCAATACATTGCGACATCCATCGACAACATGTAGTTGCTAAAAATTTGAGTGTTAGATTGCATGAATCACTTCATTTAGTCATTGATGCAGTAAACCGAATCCGAAGCAACGCGTTGAATACGCGGTTATTTGCGCAGTTATGTGAAGAAAATGACGAACACTTTCATCACTTCACACTGAAGTACGCTGGCTGTCGAAAGGCTTATGTTTGACAAGATTTTTTGCACTTTTTGAGACTATTTTAGAATTTCTGGATACTAAAGATAAAATTTTAAAAGAAAATTTAATGAAGAGGAAAACAGACATCGCCTATTTAATAGATTTGTTTACAAAATTTAATATGGTTAATTTGCAATTACAAGGCGACAGTTTAAATTTGATTAAAACAAAGTCCATCTTATCAGCGTTTCTTGCCAGAGTTAAACTATTGAAGCAAAATATTGGACGGGGCGAATTTTCTCAGTTCCCCAATTTGTCACAGACAAGCTGCCAGGAAGACGACGTTTCAACTTACGTTCAACATTTAAATGCCCTCTATTCAGATTTTGAATCTAGGTTTGAGGATATTTTGACTATGGTAATACCACCGTGGATAATTAATCCATATGGTGACATAGAAGAAACGAATGTCATAATACAAGAGGAACTGACTGAACTAAGTACAAACGAAGAACTTAAGGTTCAGTTTAAAAACGGATATCAGCAATTCTGGCTGCAAAACAACATACCCGTTACTTATCCCGTATTATGGAATATAGCGAGGAAATTTTTAATTTCCTTTCCATCGTCATACCTAGTGGAAAGGGGGTTCAGCGCTGTTACCAATCTCCTAACGAAAAAAAGAAACAGACTGGACATCATTAGCCGAGGAGATTTAAGATTAACCCTTACAAAATTGACGCCAAATGTTGATAATTTATTATTAAAGCATCAGGTTCATCCTTCTCACTAAAAATATTGACTTATTGCTTATGTTATTTTATTTATAGTTTACTTTATGTTTATTGGTGTCTGACCAATAAATGCCCGCATTGGGAATAAGTGCCCGCATTGATTTTTTTAAAGAACCCCCCTTTATAGAAAATATTTTTTTTAAAATTATTCTGAAAATTCAAGGATAGGTACACACTAAAATTCGTTAATTTTTTGCCTATTTTTAGATAACTTAAACGTATAAGAAGCGGAATTTAATCAAACTAACAGTGAAATTAATGTAGAACATACGTTTATGTTATAATTAATAAACGAACTCGCTTATTGTACTATTTTAAGTAAAAAACTTTTTTTTTATTATTTTTCACTTTTTTTTATTTTATCCCTCTTATTTTTTTTCAATGCGGGCACTTATTGGTCAGGCACCTGTTTATTTAATGTTACGTATATTTTACATAACAGATACAAAATTTTATTTTGAGTAATTTTAATTTAAATTCAATTAATAAATGTATAAATTAACATGTGTTTTTACTTAAAGTTTTTAACAATAAACTTCACTACAGTTAGAAATTTACAGGAAATCAATATCAGGAAAGTAGGGAAAAACGTGGCAAGGGGTCTACGACACAAAAAAGTTTGTGGAACTCTGCTTTAGACACTATTGTTAAATATGATTTTATTTTTGCTGGCCAGATAAAACATTTTTGCCCAGGGTTGAGGAAGGAAAACACGGTGCAAATTTCAAACATCAAAATATGATGTTCTTCGTCACATTTCGAGACATAAATAAATGTAAATGCAGACCTACTGCTTCGTATCTATAAAAGGTACTGTAATTAAATTTGGGGAGTATCCCATAAGGGAATCATTTTTCTTTGTGACATTGCTGAGGGATCCAGCAAAGGCCGCAGAACCTTTCGGGATAATGCCAAGGTATATTTTAGGGAGATGCAGGTAGATAAGAGGCAAAATAGGGATGCCGACCGAGAAAAGCCATACGGCTGGGATTCGCCACTGGTGTCTTTTATCATCCGTATTTTATATTCAAACTGAACGTACGAGGGTTGTTTCAAAAATAGTGTTCCCACATTTTATTCAGGCACAAGGATGTTTTTATTCGAAAAACCGGATTCACCATTGGAAACGATCTTTAGGCTGTTTTTCAACGGATTTTTTTAGACGTGGAATCCACTTTTTGACTTCCGCCTCAAGAAAGTGCGCAACTCCTCGTCCGCCTCGAACCGTTGGGCTGTAAGGGGGATGGTCGATGACTTCCCAGCCAAATGGCTCGATTCGGTCGTTCGTACGTTGTGAGACATGAGGATGCGCATTGTTACGATTTGATGAGTGTTCCCTTACGACGATTTTGAATTAGCCAAATGAGCTTTTTCAGAAGCCACATGAATTTCAACAGCCAGTTCCCGGATCGTGATTCGCCGATCTTCGAGCAAGATTTGTTCAATCTTTGCCACAGCTTCCTCGGAGATCGAACGCCTTACCGTGGATGTCCGTCAGAGAACTCTCTCCACCGTTTGAGGACATGTTGAATGCTTATACACGTTTCTCCATATACCAGCCCCTTCCCACTTCAGTTGACCGAACTATTGAAATCTTGGTTTTTTTCTTATCAAACACAAATAATAAAAATGTAGCAGGGTGTTATAGGTTTAAAATATTAAAAATGAATATTTTGATAATATATAGCAGAAAACACCAACTTTATCACTCCCTAATCAAATTTGCAGCATAAAAATAACACATGTTGCAATTACAGCATATCAACCTATTTTTATTTCAATGCAAAGTAAGTCTATAACGCATAGGTGGCAAGGTAAGTTTTCTTATAAAAAAAAGTGAAGTAAAAACCCTAAAGTTGCACAACTTGCTTATAGGCCAAAGAAAAGCCACTGCAAAAGAAAAATCGGCTTAGATGGGCTAAAGAACATAGACAATGGACACCTCAACAATGGTGTGCACAATACAATGGAGTGATGAGGCCCGATTCGAAGTTTGTGTTGGTGACATTCGCAGTAGAGTTATTCGCAAAAAAATCAAGCATTCCATGTCGACTGTCTGAAGATAAAAGTGAAATATCCAGCATCCATTATGGTCTGGGGCAGTATGTCATCAAAAGTAGTAGGAAAACTTCATTTTATTGATGGAAATGTGGATACAAAGAAATATTTGGCAATTTTAGAAGATCGCTTTAACCAGTGATGGAAGAATGTTTGACATCCGGCCAAGATTTTATGTTTCAGCAAGATGGTGCAGCGTGCCATACCTCAAAAAAGGCTATAAAATGGATGGAAGAAAATAATGAACCACTTTTGAAATGGGTTTCTAGCAGTCCAGATCTGTCACCTATTGAAACTTTGTGGCACGAGATGAAAAAGGTTCTACGACAACATCCTGCTCGTACAATCACCGAACTGAGTCAAAATATTCAAGAAATATGGGATTGTTTTACACCAAATTTTTGCCAAAACTTGGTTAACACTATTCCCCAAAGAATTTCAGCAGTAATAAAAAATAAAGGTGATGTTACCCAATGGTAATCTTTCAATTGTTGCTTTGTTAACTTCGCGCATTTATTCGCACATTGTTTATTTGTTCAGATGTTGTATTAGTTATAGGTCTAAGTTATTTCAAATATGTATTTTTTACGACTAGAGTGTATGTAAAATGTTTTTGAGAAAATAAATTGTTTTAGAAGTAAATAGTTTCGTCATGTTTAGTTTATAAAGGCATATTTTGGTACAAATCTTGAAGTGGGCCAACTGAAGTGGAAAGGGGCTCGTAGATATGTATTGTTAAATTGCATTCTTCAATTATTACATTAATTTTCTCGGACGATAGAACGGTTTTAATTTTTTTACTCAAAAATGGCGCATCGAAGGAAAACAACTCAAGAGAGATCATTTGTTTTAAATTGAACGAGGAATTCAAAAATAATTTTTATTTGCCAAAAAACCATTGGCGTACCATTTTTTCCTTAAAAAAACAGCGAAGTTGATATCTGTTTAAGCTAAAAATTATTTTTGCGTTGAAAAATATGCAACTTTATCAACTTTCATTACGTACTAAATACTGATCAACAGCCAAAAAATATCCTAAATAAAATCAACAAAATATTACTATCTTTAATGTACTAAAACCGGAATGAAACTTATTTTTTCAATATTAGTTCAAGTTTTAGAGATACGGTAATTATATGTATTCCTGCTGTGACAGTGTTAATATACTGTAATTCACAAGAATGCACGTGCTACATTTTTATATTCGGCAAGGAAAGATGATGTAATCGGCATGATTGTGTTACGTTATACATACGTGTACATTATATTGTTTTATATTAGCCATTTTTTCCTCAGTTGGCTGACAGCGTTCATGCAAGATGTCTCGAAAGTGTGTAAACAATCCAGATCAGTTTTGTTACGTGTGTGGTGATGTGACTTTTGCGTCTCAGAGACGGTCTATTACTCCACTAATAAAAAAGGCATATCAGCTTTATATCGGTTGTAAACTAGGTGATCAAGACAAACAGTGGGCACCCCACATCTGCTGTAATACATGTGCTTCAAGTCTGAGGAGCTGGTTAAATGGCAAAAAACGGTCTATGTCTACAAATCATATTAATGATTGTTACTTTTGCATGGTACCTTGTGTTGGACAAGCCACAGGTATGTCCAAGAAAAAAAAAATCTGTTATTAACTACCCAAACATACCATCTGCGATGAGACCTGTGCCTCACAGTGACGAAAATCCTATTCCAAAACCCCCAGAATCCTACACTTGCGAATCAGATCATGGCGATCGAGTGATTCGTCAGGAAGAAGATATGCCATCAACGTCAAGAGATCCTGATTTTATACCGAGCACGTCATGCCATCAACCGCACAAAATAACACAGTCAGAATTAAATGATCTTGTAAGAGATTTAGAACTTCCAAAATGTAAGGCAGAGTTACTTGGATCAAGACTGCAGCAGTGGAACTTGTTAGAAGACGATGTTTCGGTATGTGTTTTTCGTAAACGCCACAAAGACTTAGAACCATTTTTCAATATGGAGAATAACTCGGTTTTCTGCAGTAACATTAACGGCTTACTGCCGGCTTTAAATATAAACTATAACCCAGAAGAATGGAGATTGTTTATAGACAGTTCAACATTGAGTTTAAAGGCAGTGTTATTGCATATTGGAAATATTTTACCATCTCTTCCTGTAGGGTATGCAGTTCACATGAAAGAATCATATGACAATATGAAGTACCTATTGACTTGCATAAAATACGATGAGCACCAATGGCATATTTGTGGCGATTTGAAAGTTGTTGCACTTTTACTTGGGCTGCAGCTAGGCTACACAATGTTTTGCTGTTTTTTGTGTGAATGGGACAGTCGGGCAAAGGCACTTCATTACACCAGTCAAAACTGGCCTGTTCGTCAATTCCTAGAGCCAGGTCAAAAAAATGTACATTAGTAGATTCGAAAAAAAATTTATTACCACCACTGCATATCAAGTTGGGCCTAATGAAAAATTTTGTCAAGGCATTAGATAGAGATGGGTCAGCTTTTCAATACCTGCGTCAGAAATGTCCAAGACTAAGTTAGGCAAAGGTTAAAGAAGGTATTTTTGTTGGGCCACAGATTCGAAATATTTTGAAAGATACACAGTTTGAAAACACTTTAACAGGTATTGAAAAAACTGCTTGGAATGATTTACGTCTGGTGGTCACTCATTTCTTGGGAAATAGAAAAGCTGACAACTATAAAACCCTTGTCAAAAATATGCTGTCATCGTATCA